CTGGCTGCATTCGTTAATAAGCGATGGAAATGAGCGGAGCTCTCTCTAATGGCGATCAAAAACAAATAAAAAAGAAGAAGAAAGACGGCGGGGCGCGAATTTCGAAAATGGAAAATCGGAGGGATTGTTGTGGAGCGAAGAAACTGGTCTACCTCTGGTGGGATTTCTCTTTCGACCAAATTTATATTTATGCAATCGCATCGAATCCGAGCGGATCAATTAAATGCATCTCGGACCGAATGCATCCGTAAATCCTCGTAATCACCGCCGATTTATTCTAATTTATTCTGGTTTACGACAGGTGCAAACTGATGCAAACGAGCGAGCATAACAAATCACCGAAGATATATATTTTTTTTAAATAATAAAAACAAATAAATGTAAATCTGCTAGTTTACACTTCGTCTATGATTAGCGAACGAATGGAGTTAGTGTAGAAGATTATTTATTGATTATTCATCAAGAAAATATTGAAATTTTAATTAATGATTAATAAAAAGAGAAGAAATGTATACATTCGAATTCAAAATTTAATATTTATAAGTCTGTAGCAGACAGTAATAAAAATACCTGAATTTTTAATTACGTGTTTAATATATTGTGGACTGTAATAATTTAAAAATAATGAAAACTAAGAAAAAATAGTTGTTTTAAATTGCAAAATTATATAATGCAAATTCTAGATAGTTAACTAGAAATTATAGTGTATAATAATAAAGGAAATTGGTGATTTGAAACGGGCAAATTGTTAAATGGCAATAAATAATAAACGAGGTGTTTCGTAATCTCGTTCGCGCTTTTGTGCGTGGGAAAACGAAGATGTTATTTGCAAAGAAAAAAAATATAAAACCTGTATGACTCAGTTTCACTTTCTTCCGAAAAGTGTTTAAATCTCGCTCTTAAGTGAATGCTTTTCGGACTGTTAATACGTATAAACAATGTTATGTAAATGATTGATACTTGATTATCATGGTAATGAAAGTAATTTGAAATTGTTGTTAATGTATGGGTCAATCAATATAAAGGAAGTGCGTTTTGGGAAGGACGAGCTGCGAATTGGAAAAAAAAGTGCGGAATGCTGGTTTACGTAAGGTTGCGTCGTTAAATAATTAAGAGCGAACGAAAGAAATAAAAAGCGCCGATTTCTTCGATCCGTCGGAAGGCACGTAGAAATTTCACCAGACGCGTGATCGTCATGCAAATTGCTGTACATATTCTCGACACTTTGCTTCACCAATTTTGCAAAAGTTCAATGATCAAAACGAACAAGTAATAAACGATTTAATTAATTTATTAATTAAGTATGAATGATCGATGGTCGACGATCACGATTTTGTTTTTGTATCTCTCGTTTTTTTTTTGTATGCAAATCGCCTTTCTAATATCAACCTGCGCCACCCACGATTCTTTAAGAAGATTTAAGACTTCTCCAATTTTTTATTATCATTTTTCTATTATATAAATAAATAAGTCATCGCATTTCATACTTTCCATCAAATTATGTTGTCAATTGAAAATATATCTATTATAAATCAAATTATTATTGTAATATTATATAAATTGTTTAATTATCTAATAAATTGGTGTTCAATAACAAGTTCGTGTTTCTATATGAAAATAATGAGAGATTCTTATATAAGTCAGGTTGGCCGAGCGGTCTAAGGCGCCAGATTTAAGCTCTGGTTCCCGATTGGGAGCGTGGGTTCGAACCCCACACCTGACAAACCATTTTTTATGTATATATAAACAAAATTATTATTTTTCAATTAAAATGCAACTTATTAATCATATGCAGATTTCATAATAAGAAATATTAGCTGATTATAATAATATTTTGAAACCTCTGTAGAGTAGACATAAATTGTATAATTAATAGTTTTTTTAAATTTAGTCTTTAATTATGTTAATATAATGTAAAATGCGAAGAAATAATGTTAAAGTATGATTTATATGAAATACGTTGGTATGTATTATAGTTTTCGAGAAAATCAATTAAATGTAAAAACACTGCTTTTTCGAGCAATTTTTCAACTTTGTACGCGAATTACAGCCAAACGGCTAAAACCAAAGTAATATATCGATACTTGCTAGATTTCCCAAACATTCAGCTTTCATATGCATATATTGGATTCATTCTATGTATTATAGTTTACGAGAAAATCAATGAAATGTAAAAACACTGCTTTTTGATGCGTTATATTTTCATTTTTTTACATTCAAAGTGCGTTTTATTCACCGTAAAAATGCAGTTATTAAACAATTCCTACATATCTCTACGAATGCAATTAACGAAATTAATTATGTTTTTCCTCATTTTTTTTTTGTTTTTCTTAAATTTGTTCGTTTTATATTGAAAATTCCGACATGCTTGAATGTTTGAAGACGGATAAGGAATATTGATTCAACGAATATGCATATAATAATGATTCATTATCATCATCATCATTATTATTACTTATCTGTATGTGTGTTTGCGTTTTGTAGTCCATTACGGAATTACGCTTTCAATTAGAATAATTAAGTCGAAATTGAAAAAATTCTAATGGAAGAAAAGTTAATTTATTGTAAACAAGGATATTTATTTTATTTTTTATTTTTTCGTTCGCTTCGTTTGAATATTATTAAACAACGTGCATTCACTGCAGAAGCAACGACAAATAAGGAAAAAGGAAAAGGGATTTCAATGCTGGGAACGTTCGCTTTGAACTTGCAATTTTATGTGTATAAAAATCCATAATTGGGTTTCGTTTTATTGTTTCTTTGTGTGTATATAATTCAATGCAAGGATGTAGTTTGCATTTCTAATTTTATATATTATATTGTGGACTTGTGTTGAATATGAAACTGCGAATTCAACGTTAACCTTCACTCAATTATTCGATACTTTTGACTTTGATATGTTCATTATGTATTTATGATATTTGATTATTTTACACAAATCACGTATTCAATTACCTTTTTATATAAATATATTTTGTTTTTTTAAACAATAATAAACATACTCACTGATATTATCAACTATTTAATGAAAGTTGACATAACTTTAGAACTTGATATGTATACTTTTCATGCTGTATTTTCATACATAATTTATATTCTACTCAATTTTTATATTCTCAATATTTTCAATTCTGAAATTCGTTTTCAAAACTATGATTTCATAGTTTGACCTTATTTCAAGTTTAAATGTTTATTATTAGTGTACATATTCATAGATGACCTTTAGTACGTATTCTCTGTACTTTATTTTTAACGCCAGTTATGTTTTTAACGATTTGCAATTATAATATATTTAAATTAGTTACAGTTTGACCTTATTCCCAGTATTTTCATAATAGGAAAATTTTTGAGTTTTTACGCAGAACTTTTTGTAATGATAGAAACGAAACTGAAAAATAGAAATGTTTTAAAAATTTCTTAGAAATTTCATACAAATCTCAAATAAAATTACTTGGAAATCTCTCAAAAATTTCATAGAAATGTCTTGAACAATCTCATAGAAATTTCTGAAAAATCATAGAAATCCTTTAGAAATTACTTAAAAATCTCTCAAAAAAATGTCTTTTAGAAATTATTTATAAATATCATAAAATTTACTTAAAAATCTCTTAAATATTTCATAGAAATGTCTTGAAAAATCTCATAGAAATTTCTGAAAAATCATAGAAATGCTTTAGAAATTACTTAAAAATTTGGGAAAAAAATGTCTTTTAGAAATTATTTATCATAAAAATTATTTAAAAATCTCTTACATATTTCATAGAAATGTCTTGAAATTATTTATAAATATAACAAAAATTACTTAGAAATCTCTTAAATATTTCATAGAAATCACTTATAAAAATCTTAAAAATCTCTTAGATTGACCTTATTCTCTATATTTTCATAATTTAGTTAAATTTTCGGTTTTCATTACTAATTTTTATATTATTGAAACCATGATTTGATTGATTAGACTTTTAGTTATTTCATAAATTTACAAATTTGAACGCGAATAACGGTCATATAGATAAAACCATAGTAAAATATCAATATTTGCTAGATTCTCCAAACATTCAGCTTTCATATGCATCTTTTGGATTCATTATATCTATTATAGTTGTCGAGAAAATCAATGAAATGTGAAAACACTGCTTTTTCGAGCATTTTTTCAACTTTGAGCGCGAATTACAGCCAAACGGCTAAAACCACAGTAATATATCGATACTTGCTAGATTTCCCAAACATTCAGCTTTCATATGCATCTTTTGGATTCATTCTATGTGTTATAGTTTTCGAGAAAATCAATGAAATTACGACCATATGGCCATATTTATATTATTGAAACCATAAATTGATTTATTAGACTTTTAGTTATTACATAAATTTAATATTTAGCAAATATATTTAACATTTGTTATCAAAAAAAATGTGAAAATACAAATATTTGTATCATTAACATCAGCGTTTTGGTACTAATTTAATGATTTCATAGTTGACCTTACGTTTAGAAATTTTATATGCATATCAGTATACACTTTAATACTAGACATTTTTTATCGTATTTTTACCACATTAACACTGGTTTTGTTTTCAAATCTTAATAGCTGTAATTTGACCTTAATCTCCAATTTTTTCAACATTTATTTCTAGTTTTCTTTTACATATACATTCCATATCCAGTATTTTTTTAAAAACTGTTGTTACTAAACATAATTTAACCTATTTCTATTGAAATATAGCTTTGTTACTAAATATATTTTGATCTATATCATAGTTTAATTTTCATTGGAATGTTTGTAAATTTAAAGTAATTTTTATTATTATTTTTACAAATTACTTTCAGTTAATTGGACTTTTTTTACAGTTTTTTTTTTGTTTTAACGATTTGTTTAACATTTATAATTTGAAATGTATTTAATTGGGTGGTGTTAACAGAGACTTGTTTGTATAAATAACGGCGTTAACATCGTATTTGGAAGCGTTAATTTTTCGTTTCCGCATTTGGATTTGTTGCTGTTGTAATTGTTCCAGTTTTCGCTTAATGTTTACAGTTGGATGTACGGTAATACTGGGCGTGACGATAATAATCCCGATATGCATGATCGCGATGGGTTCGATATATCTGCACGAGTGTCCGCAGGGCGAGTACATACCTGTTTACCTGCTGGTCGGAGGTGAGTTTCTCTTTCACCTGCAAATCACGCAGCTGATTTCCTCCTCCTCTTCGCAGGTATCTTCGGAATAGTCAAGCAGCTTTTGCACCTGTCCGCGCGAGTCCGGAAACGCGAGGAGGAGCGCGAAGAGGAGCATCTCAGGCAATCGCCCACGCAGACTTTGCTCAACTGCTTCATGCTCGGATGGTTCATCATAGGTTCGAATAACATTAACAAAAAGTTATTAATCAATTTTATTAATCAATTTTGATGGATTAGGATCCGTGTGGGTGTATAAAGAGTTCGAGCCGAACTACGATCCAATGAAAGAGAACGGAAAGTACTGCAACAAGAGTTTGTATCTCTTCGCCTTCTGGTTGATCACATCCGTCTACATCCTGCTGGGCACCGTCACCATATGCCTGTGTTCTCTGAGCGTTGCCAGCATCATCCTGCAGCCGAAGATCGGCGCCTGCCAGAACGAAATAAGCGAGAGGCAGAATCACCAGCAGCAGCAGCAGGAGGAATGGAATCCAGATGCGCCGTGGTGACTGCTGTTTCGGCCACGGGTCGAACACATTTTTCCTTTCTGTTGACGCATTTCATTGTTATTGACCTCGACTCGCGGACTGTACATTTCCTCGACCATCCACTTCCTATCTGAAGGAATCTCAGCAGCTAAGTCTCATTTTCTTTCTTTCTTCTTTTCTTAATACTTCTCTACTTTTTTTTATATATATATATATACACTGGCTCACAGTATACAATCTTCGCGTATTCGAGTTAGTTGCAGTTTTATATGAATCAATTATTCGTGGAAATCAATGAAACTAAACTAACAAAATTATTTATGAACGTATGGGAAATACTGGGAATTGTGCAGTAATCAACGATTCCAGCAATATGATAGCAAATCCAATTACATTATAATTGTCTACTACAAACGTCAATGAAATTAACGCAAAACATTAGGAATTTACTGCGAATTTCGCCAAATCAATGTTTCCAATTAGTGTACAAATTAGTTTCAATACAATCATCGATAATAATCAATGAAACTTTCACAAAACTATATGAATTTGCAACTATGAGCAAATATTTCAAAAATTCTATAGTTTCATCAACATTTCCAACAATTTTTTTAGAAATATTAAAAAAAAAACGTTATGAATTTGCACTAAAATCAATATTACGAACAAAACTTTTGATGACTGACTCAGAATTTCAGTAATTTCCATCAAAATTAATCAATTAAAACTAATTAGTTTTTTTGTATCTACATATTAATAGCAAAAGTTTGAACAAATATTTCAAAAATTCTATAGTTTAATCAACATTTCAAACATTTTTTTTAGAAATATTTAAAAAAAAAACATTATGAATTTGCACTAAAATTAATATTACGAACAAATCATTTGATATTTCAACAATGAATTAGACATTTTTATAGATTTTATTGAAACTGACTCAGAATTTCAGTAATTTCCAACAAAATTAATCAATTAAAACTGATTAGTTTTTTGTATCTACATATTAATAACAAAAGTTTGAACAAATATTTCAAAAATTCTATGGTTTAATCAACATTTCCAACAATTTTTGTAGAAATATTAAAAAAAAACCGTTATGAATTTGTACTAAAATCAATATTACGAACAAAACATTTGATATTTCAACAATGAATTAGACATTTTGATAGATTTTATTGAAACTGACTCAGAATTTCAGTGATTTTCAACAAAATTAATCAATGAAAACTAATTAGTTTTTTTTTGTATCTACATATTAATAGCAAAAGTTTGAACAAATATTTCAAAAATTTTATGGTTTAATCAACATTTCCAACAATTTTTGTAGAAATATTAAAAAAAACATTATGAATTTGCACTAAAATCAATATTACGAACAAAAAGTTTGAACAAATATTTCAAAAATTCTATAGTTTTATCAACATTTCCAACAATTTTTTGGAATATAACATAAAAAACGTATTTTAACAATGAATTAGACATTTTGATAGATTTTATTGAAACTAACTCAGAATTTCAGTGATTTTCAACAAAATTAATCAATGAAAACTGATTAGTTTTTTGTATCTACATATTAATAACAAAAGTTTGAACAAATATTTCAAAAATTCTATGGTTTAATCAACATTT